TGCAGAAATCTTGTACGTTCAGGTATTTCACATTCCATCTTTATGGTAATAATCTATACAAAGTAAAACAATGTCGCCATTCACCTAAAAAGCTAACCAAACCTTTAAACAGACTTATTCAGAGGGCATAAAGTTACGATACTGTTGTCAGGTCATTAAAGATGGCATTTTTTTTTTATTCATATTGATTCACTCATAGGGTCTTTGAATCGGAAATTAACACATTTATTCTAAAATCAGTTGGCATGATACGGGTTATGTTCTTATATCGTATATTTTATGATGGTATGATACTAAACGCCTAACGGGAGCGATCGTGCTTGATTTTCATATGATGAAGACATTATCTTTCAATCAGTTTAATTGAGGTCTGGAGCTGGCATGTCAATAACTGCTTGTAGTTCTTATATATAGCTAATTTATGTTGGATTATTGTCATTTTGCTTAAGTTTCTCCAGTTACCTATTCTAACATCGGACTCTTACTTCTTTTAAACTGAATTTTACTGTGCGTATTGCTATGTGTTTGTTTAATCTACATTGGATAGAGGTGTAGGGGGAGGGTTGAGATCTTACAAAACATGTTTAACCCGCCGCATTTTTGTGTCTGTCCCAAGTCAGGAACCTGTGGCCTTTGTTAGTCTTGTGTGTTCTTAATTTTGGTTCATTTATATTTTTGGAGTTTAGTGTGACGTCCATTTTCGCTGAACTAGTATACATTTTGTTTAGGAGCCAGCTGAAACCCGCCTCCGGGTGCGGGATTTCCTCGCTGTGTTGAAGACCCATTGGTGGTCTTTGCCTTTTTTCTGCCCTTTGGTCGGGTTGTTGTCTCTTTGACGCATTCCCCGTTTCAATTCTGAATTTTATAGGACTTGAATATTTAAGAAATCAACTATGTGATGATGATATTGTGCTGATGACACAGAAATCCAACCAATGATAGATATTGCTTGCAAATACTCCTGTTAGCATTGATATAATATTATGCATTTGCAAAAGAGTACACTCATCAAAACAAAGAGAACCAAAACAAGCAACTACAATAACATCATATATCTCTAAGAGAATATCCAATACAAGAGGACCAAGAGACAACCCATTTAGGAATTATCAGAGCATGTAAAAATGAAACAAAACTGAACATACAAGAACATACAAGTGTAGCCAGGAGATCACTCTACACTCTAATACTTTTTGGGTTAAATGGGCAAGAAGGACTAAACCCTAGAACAGCATACAAGATATATCAAGCATATGTGCTACTCAGACTACGATATGGGTTAGAAGTCCTACATGTACATCTTAATTCTACCCGAATGTCAGACTTAAAACAATTCCACTTAAAAACTTTAAGATGCTTCCAATCATTACATATTAGAACGGCTACTGCAGCAGTATATATGTTACTAGGTCCCTTACCAATAGAGGCAGAACTACACAAAAGACAACTAAGCCTCTGATACTCAACACTGGCATCAGAAACTACAGCTTGAAAACAAAAACAGCCTTGTGTATAAACGTTCATGTTATCCACGTCAGAGAAGTTGCATACAAGTTTTGGAACAACTCTCTAAGTACAAAGTGAGATAACTCTAGGAAAATCGGACCAAATCATCTTACCCATGCGCACAGATAGATCTAAAGTACGTTTCACCTAGCTGAGTATCACAGTATGGCATTTCTCAAAAAGTCAGATAGAGAATATCATTTTGAAATTTTGATTGAATAAAATTGAGAATGGAAATGGGGAATATGTCAAAGAGACAACAACCCGACCAAAGAGCAGACAACAGCCGAAGGCCACCAATGAGTCTTCAATGCAGCGAAAAAATCCCGCACCCGGAGGAACATACTTACGGCAACTTAATTTTGTGATATGTTTCCAACTGCTATTGCATGTTCCGTACTCATCTGGAAAGTTTTGGTAGGTACAAAATAACTTCTTTTCCAGTGATTTCATGTTTACTATTTTCTATACTTTATCAATCAGGATTGCACTCAACAAAATCGATTCCACAATTTAAAAGTTGAAAATAATAACATATAGGACCAAAAAGATGTATTAATGGGTAGGACAGGAATACTCTGTTTTCCCACGTGAGTTGAGAAAAACTGAAAAGCAAAATATCAAAATTCCGAAAAAAAACAATGGTTGACGTATAATCATCTAAATAATATGTCTTATCAATCATATAATTTCCTTTCTGAGTATTTTGTGAAACGTACTTCAACAATTGCATGTGTATCAAACATCCCCTGTCAAAGGAGATGCTATGATTAAGTGTAGAAGAATAGGCTAGTAATAAATTATAAACTAGAATTGATTATAAACGGAGCTATATTAATATCTATATCAAAATCCATTTGACAGAACTTATTTTACAAAACTTTTTGACCATTTGTCATTTCACGGGTGCTGTTTTTGCTTTTTTTTCCGCAAGCTCCTTCCTTGGTCAGTTTTCTAACTTCGTCTGACATTTTTCTTTTCAGTTTTTGGAACGCTCTTTCTTTGTACAAGATCTTTGCAGCCTCTGCAAGCATTTCGATGCCCTTTTTAACGTCTTCAAATACCACTGCCCAGTTGCACCGGTTTTTACTATAATATTGAATCAGGATTTGTTCAGACATTGAAACTTCGACAGGTGTTTTAGTTTTTTCTCAGCCATCTTTAACACGCTACATCCATTGAATGGAAGGAAAAAGTCCGTGGTTATATTTGTATTTTGATTTTAGGGGGTGCGAGATAAATTGGATTATACTGAAATTTTATTTATATGTAATTTGTGAACATCATCAGAGGTTTTTTGAGTTTGGGGAATGCAAGTTTAACAATATTTTGATAGTTATGAACAATATTTTAATAACTATGACTGAATGCACGTTACTACGTAACGCTACAAAAGGTGCCGTTTTCTACATTATTACTGGGTCACTTGCATACTTTTGTTAGAATAGTTGAAAGTATATCAAAAATAGCCTTGGGATAAGTTTGTATAACAGTGGATTGTTTTTACACCTGTCCTAGTACAAACCTTCTACGCGTAGTCGTTGAAACGTATTGCATGATTAAAAGGTAAATTATCTCAAAGACTTTTGAATTGTATACTCTGCCAATTCTCTCAATGTTGGCGAGAAGAAAATCATTGAATAATTTTTGAAAATACTGAAACATTATTCCTGGATTTGTTTCCTTTGAAACAAATTGTAATTTTCTACAAATTTTTCCACCCTTTCCAAAAATGTTGACATATTCGTTCTGTTCCCACTTTACATTTACGGATTCTTCAGACACATCTTATTCTTCAGGAAAGTATTTAATTTTAGAAACACCGCACTTGCAACACTCTCTTTTCAAACACTGCAATTCATTAAAATAATCATTTGTAATTTTCGGACACATAGTCTGACCAACTACACCGCTGATGTGCTCAAATATAGGATAATTATTTCGGACATCATTTGATTTGATCTTTAAAGTAGATCTTCGAAATTGCATGCACTGCTTAAACAAACATTGCATTTCAACATGCTGGCGACAGCAACATGTACACCGGACTTTAGACTTCATTGGTAACATTAAGTGTCTATTTATCTACTAATATTTTTATCATATAAGACAAAATGTAAAACAAACTTGTCCGTATATATCGAAATTATGGGAAGACCTTATCTCCTGAATATTTGAAAAGATATAAATAGAACTAACTTTAAATATAGATTTGGTGTTATTTGGTATTCTAACGAAAACCAATAGAAAAGACACAAGAAATATATATTTATAGAAGCAAATTATCATTAGAACAAACTAATATGATAGCGTTTACAAATTGTTTAAAAGAAAACTTATTAATAGAAAAATATATATTTTATAAAAATAAAAGACTCAGTAGTGCAGAGAACTGCTAGAACCCCTGGACTCATTGTCATAACAACAAAGATAAACAACCGACACAATATGTTGTATAAATTAAAAAATATGTATTCTCTATCCAAACAGCCTTTGTCTTGCAATCATATTCTGCAATGTATCAAACTTTTTTTTGCTGTTTCTATTTAATATGTTGTATATCTTCTGCCTATATATTATATTATGCATAATATGTGTATACCTTTAAAAAAAATTGTGAAAATCGTCATTAAAGTGCAGTAACTCCAACAAGGAGTCATCCATATTGTACTAATTGTAGATCTTGACTTGCTGATCATTTTTGCTTATTTAAATTTCTATCTATCTATTATCGTTTTTAAGATATAAGACAAACACGCCAAAAATTGGTAAAAATCGTCATCAAAGGGCAATAACTCTAATAAGGAGTCGACTGACGATTTCGACCATGTCGACTTTTTTGTAGAACTTGTCTTGCTCTATCTATTATAGTTTTCAAAATAATAGGCGAAAATGAAAAAAAGGTAAAATTTGTCTTTAAGGACAATAACTCCTATAAAAAGTTGTCTGACAGTTTGACGTAGATGGACAATTGGTAGAGCTCAACATTCTGAACATTTCTGCTCTCGTCAGATTTTTTCTATGTCTAACGGTTTTCAAAATAATAGACAAAACTTGCAATTTACCCCTATGTTTTATTTTTATCTTGGTTGGCAGGCGGGGTCAACGGACACATGTTTTCTCAGCATGTTTTAAACAAGATACCCCAACGATATGATTGTGGCCAAGTTTGGTTAAATTTGGCCCAGTAGTTTCAGAGGAGAAGATTTATGTAAAAGTTAACAGACGACGACGGACGCCAAGTGATGAGAAAAGCTCACTTGGCCCTTTGTTGTAAAAAGAGGTTGCAGCATATGGCACATCTTCAGGGCACATCTAACTAAAAAAAATCAGACACTAACTTAATTCATCCCATTTTCTCTCTCACCATCCCTTGTACCCACCCCCGGTACTTTGAGCCTTCAACTTTTGAACATATTAATAATGAAATGCAAATTTGAAAAAGAAAATAAAGTGTAAATCCTGATGTACATGTACACAACCGGAAGTGATATCATTTAAATCGAAAGTTGAACAATCAATTCCCTTGATTATTTTGTAGAAAAGGAAATGGTTGTAAAAATTTTAAGGGATGAAATGAGAAGGTAAGACATATATCAATGACGGCTTTTTTCAAATAATTGCTCTCGTTACAACATACGAAGGTTATATGTTATATATATAGTAATTATTCGCCAATAAACAATGCTATACTCGTTCAATTGACTCAACCTATATATAGTGCATTATGGTCAAACCCACATTCAAAGTATGTCGTCACATGGGTTACATTTTTCTTTAGAAGGCTTCCAAATACTAATGTAGTAAAATGAATAACAATTTTATGCAAGATAAACAAGGATATATAAATAATAAATGTTGGACAATGCATGAATCTATTTATAAAAACAGATAAAACCCAACACATACTTAAAGAACTATAAATAGATTTGAGTCATGTATGCAAAGAAATATCCGTTTATTTTATTGTAATTTTAGGGGATGTTTGAGCTCTCATCAATAGGTGTAACCCTTCCAAATTCTTTATGTTCATATCTCAATACAGGACCCTGTAATTCAGAAGTTGTCGTTAGTTGCTGTCTCCTATATTTGTTTTTCGTTTGTTTATTTTTTAGCAAAATTCAGGCTGTTGGATATCTCTTTTGACTTATTTCACATTTTGTCATACTAGGGCCTTTTATAGCTTACTTTACGGTATGGGGTTTGCTAATTGGTGAAAGACGTGCGGGGACCCATAGTTGTTTACATCCTCGTCAATCATGTCAATTGCTCCCTGGTTGATAGTCTCATCGGATATATGTCAACTCGTACGCTATTTTTACCAACTCGTACTTTTACCAACTCGTACCCAATATTTTATTATTATTTATTTACATTATAGTTGTTATTTTCTTTCATACATCATATATAATACATGTTATATAGCAACATAAAAAAAAAAATTAGTTGGTAATATGATGCAATCATATTTTTTTCAAATCAAAGCTAAATATGGCCACATTAAATTAATTTCTAGTTAATTTTATAGCAACTGATCATATCTTTATGTATATGGGGATATTGTTCTGTGTTGAAGGCCATACATATACTGTAAATTTTACTGGTTACAAACCTCAACAAATTTGGCCATTGGTGCCAGTTATGGAAGTTTGTCTCATAGACAATCATACAAATTCTTATTTTTTAGAAGATTATGTAAATTGTTGAGTTGGATTAATGTGTTATATTCAATTACCACAAACACTTTCTTTTCACATTTCATGGTTTATAACTTTGTAATGTTACTAGAAAATATAAATATAAGTTTCAAAGGGAACTTTTATTATAAAAAAAAAAAAAAAAAAAAAAGAGAATAGAAAATATAATAGTATCATCGCGATGCCATTTTAATGCATGTACTGCCATCTTCGGAATTCTCTCTTCATGCATGTTATATTGTCACCATTCAAATCTTCCAATTCGGAGGCGTTGGTGCTTTGTGCCAAATTGTGGTCTTGCACGGGATCCCTATAAACATATATCGGTAAACGAATTAACCAAATCACATTCCACTGCTGTGTTTCGTAGTTTGGTCGTAGCCTGCGTTACCACTGTAACTACACATATTCCACTCGTGTCTTACGTTTAGAATATATATCATATTATTTTTAAACATAATTATAAAACAAAAACGTTGTGAATGTTAGATCTAGATCGTTTTGGTTGTCAATTTTCGTGTCTGTATGACATTACTAGTACTTTAAAACGCACAACTGATTAAAATTTTGGTTATATAAATTTAGAGACATACGCGCGCGGCTCCGTACTGGACGCGGGTTTTTAAAAAAGTATTTTTTTCTCGTCGACCTTTCACAACACGCGGGAAATCCGACGAACGAGGTATTAATTTGGCGTGGCCGTATGGGGATTATCTGGATTCAGAATATTTTTTTTTGTCATCTGCTTGATCACAATATTTTTTTTCATCAAATTGGGGATCAGAATATTTGTTTAGGAAAAACCATAACCCCCCACCCCCTTGAAGTTAGATGGTCGTTCTCTTAGAGAAGTGAAGGCTTGGGAGTAAATACAATGCAATTTCCAACATAATTTCCAAGGGGCATAACTCTTTTAACAATATCTGATTAGCACTGATTTTTTTAAATTGTCCAAGACATTGCTGCTATAAACCATTGATATAAATCTGGCAAAATTGAACACGTGAGAGCGCTAACAAGACCGAACAGACAGACGGATGGACATCTGGTATTTCTATGTCCTCTGCAACACATCTTGCGGGGGACAATAACACATTTTGTGACTACTTCATATCAGGGTTTAATCAAAACCAAATATTTTGTTAATTTGAAGTTTATTAGTTTGATTTTTCTTTTAAATTAACAAAATCTACTTTTATTGTTTGGTTTTACATTGCAGAATAGTTATAACCCTATATGTACTTAGTCATCATGATTTGAAAAAATGCAAAACATTTTTTGTAATACAAATGTACTTTTAAAATGTTAAATACAGATATCTGTCAAATCTTAAAAAAGAAAGCGAAAAAATTTTTACTTTCATAAATGTATATGTGTGTACATAATATGCTGAACCTCACTAAAATGTATTAGTATCTGCATTAAACTAAGATGTTTCGCATATAATGCATTGTGAAGCCAACACAAACACTAGATAGTATAAATATGCATGTTTATCATTCTGCAGCTTCTGTCTCCAATGTGACAAAACTGTTTTGTACTTACCCTGTTCTTTCTCCCATACAATACCATTTTTATACGCCCGTTTACGGGACGTATTATGGTATACCGTTGTCCGTCCGTCCGTCGTCAACATGTCGGATATTAACTCAAAAACGCTTTATTCTGTTGTGTAATGCCCATTTCCATCCTCCTCCATATGTCTCCTCTGTGGAAATATGTCTCAATACCAGCCGAAAAATGAATATCATGTACATGTATTTTATTGTTTGTTTTTGTCTTTTTCAATTTAAATAAATATCACAATATAAATAATAAAAGTATTCTGATTTAAATTTTTTTGACAAATAATTTACTGAAGAGTATCAATATAATAAGTATTTGAAAGTGGACAATCAGTATACAATATAACTTGTGCAAACAGATATTGGATTACTTCCTTTGTAGTAAATACTTAATTTGTAATTTGCACCCTTAAATAGACTCTTTCATCTGTTGATCCTCTACACTTTAGACCAAACCAATTAAACGTTTCAATTGTCATATTTGGTAAACAAAAAGTCCAAATAGCTGTTCAATATATAGATTTTCAGTCACATGTTGTTATACTCTACTTGAAATATTTCAAACATTTATGTTTTCTCAGACATTTGCACATACATACAGTGGGTATATTTATACAAACATTTAAGCAAGTATATACATGCATGTATAACACTAAAGAGACATACCTCAATGTTCTATCAATCGCATGTCTTTAAGTGTATCTCATGACTTATATCTTTTGATCAATTATCAATGCAGAATATGTATAAATTTTAAAAAATATATGAGTTAAGCCATTTCAATTGATATTTTATAGTGTGTCTTTCTATGTTGTGATGTTACACTATTGTTTCAGATAAGGGTGAAGGTTTGGTACCATTAAAACTTTTAAACCCGCTGCAATTGTTTGCACCTGTCCTAAGTCAGGAATCTGATGTTCAGTAGTTGTCGTTTGTTGATGTGGTTCATAAGTGTTTCTCGTTTCTCGTTTTTTTATATAGATTAGACCGTTGGTTTTCCCGTTTGAATGGTTTTACACTAGTAATTGTGGGGCCCTTTATAGTTTGATGTTCGGTGTGAGCCAATGCTCCGTGTTGAAGACCGTACTTTGACCTATAATGGTTTACTTTTATAAATTTTGACTTGGATGGAGAGTTGTCTCATTGGCACTCATACCACATCTTCTTATATCTATATATACTAGAACACACCCGCGACATCGCGGTTCCGTGACTGAATAAAAGTACCTTTGCCTTATGTTTAGCCTGTATTTTTAGTATTCGTATTGTCATCTGATAAAGTCATGCTGATTGTAAAATGCAGTTTTCTCTGCTTTCAACATCTTTCTGTTTAATTGAACCCGTCCTGGTTTTCTTACTACAATAAACTCTAACTATAAACTTAATTTAATATTTTAACTAATTAACCAAAGTAATAGTGGTATTGAGGTGGAAGAAAACAGACTAGTTAAATAGTGTACTATAATGTAACATAGAAATAAAACAACTACTGGAAGAATCCCAGGTTCTGCTATATCGGCATTTTAACAAATTTTAATTTTATTTGTATTAAACCTTTTGCGCAAGTTTATAAACATTTATTAACCTTTTTATGTCCAGGAACATGGATGGCTGTTTTATTCACCCTTTTCTGAGCTCCTGCTCCTGAATGCAAATCAATTCGTCGTAACAATTGTATTCATTCTTCCATCTTTTCACTTTGATTTGTCAAGGTCTTCATCAATTTTTTAGTTTAGGTATCCATCATCTTCTTCATAAGCTAAATAAAATGGAAACTTTAAAGAGATGGGAAATATACATACATGTACATATAGAATTTTTAACATTTGTAATAATATTTACTCGGGAAAAATCAGGTTTAATTTTTGTTAACAGTACTTTAATATAAAAAGTAAGAAGATGTGGTATGATTGACCAAACTTGCACAGTATTTTTATTAGGAAGCGTTGTTGTGCACCAGTTATATAGTTTTCAATACAATGGATTTTTATGATCAAATAATTGGCATTTTTAAAAAGGGTTTCATTTTCTACATATGCTATCCCCAACTCTTCTCAAAACGTCCAAAGGAATTCGACGATACTTGAAAGTTTCTTAGTTGGAAAGCATCGGATATTGCGCACCAGCTACTATAATATTTAGGTTTTCATTTTATTTGATTTTTGTAAGAAAATAATTAGCATTTAAAAAAGGGATCACATTTTCCCTATCTTCTATCCACAACTCATACTAAAACGTTAAACGGAATTCGAACTTTTGCAGTTGTTTTGTATTACGAAACATGGGTGTATTTTTCAAACATAATAATAATGCATGTAACTA